GAGATGCCTCAGCGAAACATTTTCATTTCCGTAACGATAAAGGTGATTTAAAAGGCTTCCAAACAAACTTTGAAACATTATTTTTACAAGTATCTGTCACAATCTGACACCTGTCAATTAGAGAGTGCGCAAGAAAAAAAAAAGCGAAGGAACATTTGAAAACCAACAGAACTAGTTTGGCAAGGACTGTCACGACAATGTTTTCTTCAAAATCAGTTAATGATCTAACGGAAAGTATTATTCACTCTCATCGACCATTCATTCATTTACGAAGATTTACCTCTGTTCATTAAGTAAACGGCGAGGAAAGTAACTGTGAGTAAATTCAATTTTTTTATTTTGAAGTTGTGAGAGTTTGCTCGTTTGTTTGCTGTAATGGCGTGTTTAACTCTGATCTTTCCTTCACAAAAACTAAATTCGAACGGCACACTCCAACGAGACACAAGGGAATGTAATGCGGCCTTTTCTCAAAAAATTCCTTCAATTTCTGTTGTGCAATTTAGGGTACAAATGTCCAAATTGAACGGAATTGGAAAGACTCACCAGGAGCGTATATTTGTTGTAGAACTTAAATTAAAACTTCGCTCGCTCTTTCACTATGAACAAATTGCTCGAGAAAATTCAGATATTAAATGAATGAAAGTTCCATCGTTCAGTTTAACTGTAACCAAATACCTCACGTTCCAACTTTCTGGGGTACTTTTTGTGAACGATTAAAATTAATTGCAGAAGGTTTTTAGGCCGCTTGTCAACCAACGTAATGACACTATTGTTTATACAAATTAATTCTGAAACCAATATTTTTCTGTCAACCAAAGTGATTTGATAGAGAGAAAAGAGAGGATTCATAAGTTATTTTTTGGCTTGAGGTAGTGACCGACGTGTTTGCTTAAAAATACTGCCCAGCCGGAAAACGAGGTATATTTATGAAAAATGACAACGAAAGTTGGGATGTACTCGGCGACTCACGAAAGCGTTACCGTGGCCCGTGGGCAGAGATAGGAAAATACTGACCGGGTAAAGAACCAATCAGATTGCAAGATTCGTTACCGTGCCCTCTAAAAAAACAATAAAGGAAAATACTGACCGGGTAAAGAACCAATCAGATTGCAAGATTCGTTACCGTGCCCTCTTAAAAAAACAATAAGAAATATTATATTTTAGTCTTTCCAAGTCCGTTCAATTTGGACATTTGGACCATAACTTGCACAACAGAAACTGAAGGAATTTATTGAGAAAAGGCCGCATTAAATCCCCTTGTGTCTCGTTGGAGTGTGCCGTTCGAATTTAGTTTTTGTGGAGGAAAGACCAGATTTACACACGCCGTTGCAGCAAACAAATGAGCAAACTCTCACACCTTCAAAATAAAAAATTTGAATTTACTCACAATTACTTTCCTGGCCGTTTACTTAATGAACAGAGGTAAATCTTCGTACGTGAATGAATCGTCGATGAGAGTGAATAATACTTTCCGTTAGATCATTGACTGTTTTTTAAGAAAACATTGTCGTGACAGACCTTGCCAAACTAGTTCCGTTGTTTTTCAAATCTTCTTGCGCTTTTTTTTTCTTACGCGCTCTCTAATTGACAGGTGTCAGACTGTGACAGATACTTGTAAAAATAATGTTTCAAACTTTGTTTGGAAGCCTTTTAAATCACCTTTATCATTACGCAAGTGGAAATGTTTCAGTGAAGCATCTCTCTTTAATTTGTATCACCTTTACTTTAACTACCATTTACTCGCTCAAAAATTGTTCAGTTTATGGAAGATCTTGCCGTATTTAAAGCCCTAAATCATTCGGGTTCTTTCAGAATGTATTTCGTTAAGCTAAAAAAAAAAAATATGTTATTTACCGGCTAAGGGTCGGTCCGTATGGTGAAAAACTGTGACCTCGGCCTTGAAAATGCTGCCCTCGGCCTACGGCCTCGGGCAGCATTTTCAAGACCTCGGTCACAGTTTTTCACCATACGGACCTCCCAGCCGGCAAATAACATATATATATGTTACTGAGCCTGCATTAAGTTTCTAACGAACCGGAAAAAAGATACGGCTGTAAGCAGGAAATTCTCAAGTTTGCACTCAATTGAAAAATGGGTTCTTTATTTTCCTTCATCGTAATGTCGCTTTATATTATGTGAGCCAGGATTTGGGACGAAGTGTCCGCTACAGCGAGAGGAAAAAATAAGTAAAATGTTGCGCTTGGGAGCATGAAAGTGTTCACATTTTCGTAATAGCGAGAGTCCGTACTGACGGGAGTTTATTTCAGTTATTTCTTTGTGCGTTTCGCAAGGGGACTGGCTCTTGTCCCCAAGACCTGGTGTCCGTAATAACGATCGAGTTTTCCGAAGGGTGAGAGTCGACTGTAGACCGAAGAGTTTGAATAATTTATCTTTCGACATCCTCAATCTATTGATGAACATCTGCTTCGAACTGAATTAACTCAACAAGAATAAATTAATGAAAAAAAGGAAAAACACAAGAACATATATGCAAAGGCACCTGTTCGAAAAAGGAATAAATTTTATCTTTCCTTTTCCCACGGTATATTGGCTGCTGTTTGCCGATAAAAGTTTGATGGCGTGATGTGACATATTTGGTCGTGTAAAATAAGTAAACGAACATGAACATCAGCGACTGATAATGTGAAAGAGATAAAAAAATTTTTCTGCAATGAAAATGAAGCGAGAACAGCAGCTAACAGATGTTATCATTGTTCTGCGGTGTGAAGCGTGTTGTAAGACCGCCTCTCAGTTATTTACTCTTTAGATTGAGAGTTTCATAGCCAGAGTACTTCAAGCCTTTCGCAAAACTTTGTTTGTTTGTTTTAATCTGAGAGGTTGATTGAAGGTCGATATCTAAAACGAAAGTCGATTTCCTACATTTATCAACAATATCTTAGCCTTTTCACAATGAAAATAGTGACAGTTTCATTTGAAAGAAAATTGCAGAAGCTTTTGAAAGAGAGAGGCAGAGCAATTTTCAGTGCAAACAGAGACATGAACTTTTAAAATCTGCCTTCAAAAATATACCCATAATATGGCCGTTTGTTCTTGAATGCTCTTTTTCCTGAATACAAATATCAATAATGTTGGACTACATCAGTTGTCGGTTAGTATTTACTTGTCGCTAATCGGTAACTTTTTTGCGTTTTGTCGGTAGTCAGCTATATTTTTCGCCTTTGTCGCAAGTCGATTAACCCCATTCAGACACTCCTCTACGCCTAAGCTAGAATGCTCTTCTTTCTGAATAAAAATAGTGATTGGTATTTACTTGTCGCCATTAGGTAATTGTTTTTTCGTTTTGTTGGTAGTCAGATCTATTTTTCGCCATTATCACTAGTCGGTTAACCTCATTCAGACTCTCTTATAGCTTATACGTTCAACTCCGTACTAAGGCAGTTTCGAAATGGCATCGACCGCGTCACCGCCCTTTGACGAAATTGCAGAATGCAAAATACAAATCACAGAAGGAAAGCGTCGGAGATGAAAAGTAGGAGATGGACAACGTAATTTGGCTCCGTCAAATGAGAAAGACTGGCAAGAGATCCACTTCTTCTCAAGGGTAAGTTGGAAACACATGCGCTTCGCTATTCAACTAAATTGGATTCCTTGGTTATTTCGTGACCTACAAATTTGACTAAGTGCTGCTGCAGATGAAATGATGTGTCACAAGAACGGAGTTAGAACTGTGCAACGGTTGTTTTAATATATCCTCACCAATTGATCGTGACCAATTCTGAAAGTGATATTCGTTCCTCGCGTCGCCAGTCAAAATTGATAGATTCGAACCATTTCAATGTTATTTGAGTACTTTTCTCGGTTATGACCCTCTTCAATGATCTCCGGCGTAACAGAACGAAAAAACTCATTATCAATCGATTTTAGACGAATTTCTTTTAAAACAATCGCTGGACTGAGTGCGACTGTGTTCGGCGATCGAAATAAATCAAACACGGAGGTTTTAGTTATTCGGGTACTATATTTGAATGATCTCTAGTGTAACAGTCAGAAAAAAAAACTCACTTTCGATTGATTTTAGACAAATTTCTTTTTAATTGTTACAAACTAGACTACCTGCCAAATTTTTTCCTTTGGGCCACTTTTTAAAAAAAATTTTTCTAGCATCCGTATGACAGCATCTACTTGTTGTAAGCGGTAGCTCAGCTCTGTATTATTCACGTAATTAGGTTCTTTGAGGTTTCAAATTGGGTGAGGTTATGTAGTTGTGAACGTTTTTTTTTTGTATAGTGTCTAATGATACATTTTGAGTTATCAATATTCAATAGTTTCTTGTAATAATAACTTACCGTGTTTGGAATGTCAGATTTGTTGATCCTTAGCTGGGGATAAATCCTTACTAGCAAATCCCCTGCCCAATTTTTAGCGTAACTGGCACCAATCTTTAGTGATGTCGCCCTTGTGATCTTAGATAAAGAGGATAAGTTTTTAAGGAAACTGTGGTGCTGCATCGGTGGGAGAGTATAACAAGGTAATTTGGTATTATCAAGTGGGTTGATAACGTAAACTGGCCACCTTTAAGAGTTTCAAAGCTGACGTTTCGAGCGTTAGCCTTTGTCAGAGCCCTTCGCTCTAACGACAAAGCTTGTCGTCAAGAGTGATTTCTAATGATATCGGCAGTCTTACATCCTAAGGAGCAGCCTCACTGAGACTATGCTTGGGTAAGTTTCTAAAGAAACTGTGGTGCTGCGTCGGTGGGAGAATATAGCAGGTAATTTAGTGTTAACTGAGTTGTAAACGTAAATTAGCCACCGTAAAGGGTAAAAGAGCTAACGTCTCGAGCGTTAGCCCTTCGTCAGAGCGATCCTTTAAGGTATTTGTACGGAGCATATGTGTACTAATGTGTAGTCAGTAGAGGAGATTGATTGTTGTTAGTTTGCAAGGAACATCTATCATGGGCTAGTGCGCAGATTGGGGAAGAGTCAAGCTCGGTTTCTAGTGTTTGACACCTTGAAACATTAAAACACGAAAGAACAACGACATCATTCACGCAGTGGTTTATAAAATAGATTAAATTACATTAATTTCATACAGTCGTAAAATCACTCGTTATTTACGTTACATATATTACAATTCGCCTTCTTGCGATAGATTTGCACGTAAAAAGGCATGGTCAAAGAAAAGGAAAGCGCTTCTAGTAGGTATAGTGTAGACGAAGTAACAACATTGTCATACAATACACTTTGCTTTGTTAGGAAACGAATTTCAGGTCTCTTTTGTTTCACGACGAGTCCCTTCAGCAGTTGCTATGATTCATCTTGGTCACGAACCGATGATACATTAAAAGACGATGAGAACTGGTTTCTGGTATCCAGTTCTTCCTGTAGCACCCGTGTGCGGGACTGTAACACTGAGATCTGCTGTCTAAGAGATTCAATGGTGTCCTCAAGGTCCTGGTAATTTTACAGGCGAAATAGTAAAATTATTAATGAAATATGAACGGTCCTAATGAGAGGCTATTCCACAACTCACTTGACTCAAAACTGTTAAAAGTCATTAATGATGATCTTATCGGCTTCATAAAATGTAGATTATTTAAAGGCCACTGGAAAAGCTAGAAACAATTTGTCTGTATTCAAGATGCTTTTGGGTAAATCTGATTGATCAAATCCGAGTTGAATTTACTTGGAATTGAAATCCTCTTGAGCGACACTCCTCCCTTAAGAAAAATCAGATTCAGTCGTGGCAGAGCTTCGAAATACATCACCTAACCCTTTAACCCCTTGGGGTGACCAGCATCTAATTTCTCCTTCAGTACAATATCAACAAATCAAGGTTACAAGAAAAAAGGAAATGATCACCAACTAAAGAAGTTCTTGATTGTTGACCAATTTCTTCTTTTCAGAACTTTGGGAAATGTTGAGGGAACAGTGTGGAGAATATGTATTCTGATGTTAGGGTGGAGAGGTTTAAAAGCCACCTAACAAACAGATATTTCCTGATGAGTTATGTTCGAGTCTCATTAAGAAGTGCACTTATTTACCTCTCGAAGAGAAGCCGGCATAAGACCTTTTATTTTCTCTTCATGCTGCAGGCGCAATCTGGACAACTGTGGAGTAAAAAGAGAAAAATAAGTTTTGCTTTTCCATAAGTGAGACCCTTTATTTAGGAAGCCAAACTTTATAAAAGTGACTGGAAACAAGTTCTTTATGTTCGAACCCTCCACCCCACCCCCGCCGCCATTAGGTTCGTCATTCGTGTCCAGTTCTCGTGCATTTATTTTCAGAGGTTAAAGAATCAAAAAGGAAAACAAAAATACATGCTGTAAATTGTAGCTTCGGACAAAAAATTTTGCGTCTAGTATGTTATTGTCTATACCTAGATAATTAAAACGAAAACAAAAACAAAACAAAACAACGCAAGCAAGGCCGAAAGTACACATGCCAATGGAGCAAATACAAACTGCAAATTCAACTTACTTTTTCTTGCGAGTCAAGCTCCACTTGTTGAATTCGTTTCTCTAAATGTCGAACCATTGTTTTTTGTGTTTCTACGTCTTGCTGCAAAGACTGAGGTCATATGGAAAAAAAGAAGGAATGACTACATTGGCATAAAAACCACGAGTTTGTGTCGGTGTGGAGTTGAAGACTTCAACTTGTATGTACATTACCAAAATATAGACTCAAAGACACGGATTTTTGGCATTGGACCAATCAGAAAGCAAAGCAAAAAGAAGTGTAACAAGTACCAAGGACGATAAAATGCGCACTGGTTCGTGAGTTTATTCTAATTTACCAGAAGACGGTGTACGAATTTCTCTCATTAACGTACCTTAGCAATTGAAGAATGATGCTTTTTCGCCGACGCTTTCTCTTCTTCGTATTTTGCCGTTGTCTGAGCAAGCTTCTTTTCCAAGTTTGTTCTTGTGCTGTGAACAGGAAACGCAACAAAGTGCAAATAATTGGTGTAACACATAGTTTCAGTTGTTTCACAACCAAAGAATATTAATCTCGTTTTGCCGCGATAACACCGCGTGAACGACGAATTGGAACTGATGACTGGCCTTCCTAAACGAATCTACATATTCTAGGCAAAGTTCCAGAGGAAATCATTGATTGCTTGAAGCAGAAGTCAGCAAAACTTACCGGTTGTTCTCTTCTTTTAATTTCTTTATTTCTTCTTCAAGCGTCTCTACAACCTACGATGGACAAACAAAAACACATCTTACCCTCGTTTATTCAGCCTTCGTCTCATCATCACTCACATGTTGGATACTAGACTAAGCAAACACCTATGACTGGATATAACACTTAAGATTGACTGCCACCATCTTTGGTAGTAACTCTTAAACTAGCCTACGTGTAGCCGTACCCTCCCCCCCAGGTGAAACGTTTCACGGGGGGGGGGAGAGTACGGCTACACGTAGGCTACTCTTAACTCGATGGAAATTAGACTTGACCGATCTACGCGGTTTGATGAGTAAGTTTGGTTTGAATACTGCAAGACTTGATACACTAACCTGATGTCCCTTTGAAGATCGTGTTGTATACTCTTCCTCCATTTGTTTTATCCTGTTGTTCGTCTAGAAAAAAAACAAACAAACAATTCTCTCTCTACTTGTCAAAAAACTGTATCAGAATATAGCGGAAAAAAAGAGTTCTGACTGGTTTCTCCAACACTGAGCACGAGAAATAAAACATTGCCTTCACCTGAAATCACATGCATACTACAATTACCAGCGCTGAGTAGAGTTGTGGAACAAGTTCAAACTTTTCAAAATCCTCCTGTACACTTTTTGTATTCTATAACATTAGTGGAGTCGGCGATAGGGGCGTGACATCAGCGATGTCGACCAAAAGTTAGCACTGATACTCCTTTTGGACTCTCCTGGACTAATTTTTCTCTAATAAACTCGAAAAACTGTTACTCACTTTATCTAGAATCTGTTCCATTTCGCTGCTATGTTCGCGCTGTAACTGTAATCTCTGTTGCTCAAGCTGACTCTTGAATTTCATTTGCTGTCAAAATAGAAAGAGCATTTGTTAGCACAATTTGGCCGAAACAAAAATAAAGCTTTTTTCCCTTTGGTTACAGGAGCACCATGAATGCTACAACTCAAATCTATGGTCATTTAGTAAGCGAGGCCCTTCACTTCCGCATAAGCGCACAGACTGGGACCCGGCTTGCATTTCTTGACAACTTCCCTTTTAAGTAGAGAAAGATGTTTTTCGTCTTGTCACGAGCGTGGGACAAAGAAAAAAGTCTGATTCCCCAGGAGGAATCGAACCTCAGACCTTCGGATTCGCGCTCCGATGCTCTACCACTGAGCCATAGAGACTCCACGGTGAGCGAAGTCTATTACGAAGTTCATACGAGACACGTCCTGCATACTGCTAGGATCTGCAATGTCGATAGCGTAATGTTTGTAGATAGAAGTAAGAGAGACGGTAAGTTTTGAGCTCCCCTTAAATTAGGGGTTATTTAAATCTCTAAAATTTTTCTCCTTTGAGCTTGAGCTTAGGACAATAAATTCAATTGGAAAAGTCAAGCATTATTGCGGCCAAAAAAATGCTTCCAACAATTGTAAATTTCCTTAGCACAACTAACCGAGTTTTCATCCTGTCTCTTGAACGTTTGTTTCTCCTCTTCTCTCAACAGGCTCAGCTCCATCAACTGAGTTTTATGCGTTGAATTCGCTTGAATAAGCTAACCACAAGACAGATAAAGGTAAACAAATATTTGCCAAGAGAAAAAGATCTACGCAGAGTCACAGAACGACTAAACACAACAATAAATGTGGAAAGTATTTGAGAAAAACGATTGATTCATGATTCTGCATTAAATCCAAACTAATTCCATACTAAAAAATTAAAGCAGACTGTGATTCATTAATAAAGGGGGCAAGTTTCTAAAGAAACTGTGGTGCTACGTCGGTGGGAGACTATAACAGGGTAATTTAGTATCATCAACTTTAGTGTTATCGTCAGAGCGAAAGACGTAGGGCTAACGCTCGAAACGCCTTGGAACTCTTTACGGTGGCCAATTTTCGTTATCAACTCAGTTGATAATACTTAATTACCCTGTTGTGTTCCATCAAACCTATCATACCTCCTCTCGCAATTCTCGTACTTGTTGCTCCAACTCAGCGATAGTCTGGAAAACAAAATATCAGCAACACTGAGCCTTAAAACTTCATGCCGTAACAGATATGTAAAAAATGAAAGATGTTTCTGTGTTACCTTGGCGTCCTTGTTTGCTCTGTTTCTCGTTTGATTTTCATGTTCAAGCATTCTTTGACGAAGTTTCTCCAACTGTATTTCCTAAAAATGAAAACAAAAAGACAAAAGGGACAAATAATCAGGGCTTGTGCGACAATGCGATCTTATAAATGTTTTGCAAGTCGTTAAATATCAGGTATTATTTTCTATTAGGTCAGTAATAACAAAACGCTTCAGGCCAGCATGGAATATCCAGGACCATCACAACCACTGACATAAAACACGACTGCTACAGTTCACTGGTAACTAGTACCAGTAATACCTATTCACGAGAAGCGGCGAGGTAAATATCCAGCAACAGCCACCGACACTGAATTCAATCACTGATTTTAACTCATTTATTCCTGCAACGGTTACAATATTTTCGGGTGCAAATCCCGCACGAGTTGCTTAGAAGTGAATAGCGAAGAATATTCAGAGTTAGAACAGCCAGTCAGAGCGCGCCTCAACGCTTTCCACTGCCTTAGTATATATACTAATACAGAATAGCAATAAAAATTTTCCGCGCTTTGAAGGAAAGTTGTCGTGCCAAATTCTTGCATCCAAAGCTGTTGTCAATTTGACGAGACAAATTTTACATGATTATGATCTATTCGCGACCTATTCCACCTAACCTGCGAATTATAAAATAACTGGGTCATTTAACTAACCTTTTCCTGTTCTTGTTCTTTTAATGATGAGTCCCTTTCTATCTGGTGCGCTCTTAAAGTCTGTGCCTTCTCTTGTTCATGACGAATGTTTATCTCTGCAATCTGGGACAAAACAAAATTTCTTTCACAAGGATGTCGTATAATTTTGGTACACTCGGTCAAATATTGATTGTGCCACAAATACGTAACGGACGGACAAATTTGACTGCACCATGTTTAAATGACAATTTTCGCCCGAAGAATAGTCTACAGATGTTCTATCGCTCCCAGGGTTTCGCGCAGCGCGCTAACATCAATTTTTTTACCACTGATTTTTTTTTGACTCGCCCTACGGACTTCGCCGAAAAGGAGGTACTGCTCGTAGTCTACCGACGAGACGACAAATTGTGCCCACCGGCAGCCTGCAGACGGAACTAAAAGCAATAACACATAACTGGTGTAAATAAAGTCGTTCTCTACAGATTGATTGAGGAATCTGTCAAATTGCTTTCGTTAATGCTTACTTAGAAAGACGCTTCTCAATCCAATATGGCGGCAAACGATTAATTTCAAAATTTTCGCAATAAGGAAGTGCCTTGTTTCGTGCTTTTTCAATCACAAGGTCGTCATAAGTTATTAGACTTTCTTCAAATGCCACCAAATTCATCATTCCTCTAACGACCGAACACTCCAGGTTACCTCCTTTTCGTGTTTGATTTTAAGATCATCCAGTTGTCGGCTAAACTCCTTCGCCTGCTTTTCACGAAGGTTCTTTGAGCGAGCCAGGTCTTCCTCGACCTTCTCCATCTGTAAGGTTGCAAACAATCAAGCATTTTAATTATCAAGTTTTAGCATAAAACAATGTCATATGTGTGTGGCAAGTAATCCTGAAAGTTGCGTGTCGATAAGCCGTTAGTACTCAAACTTAGCAAGTTCTTTACTCGTTAATTGCACAACTATTGAGGCATCTACCTGGGCTTTCATCTCATCAAACATCCTCCCAGAATTCCTCTCCACTTGACTTTTAAAATCCTCTAGCGCATGCTCAGCGTGTTGAGCTTGTTGTTTCTGAGCCTCTGACAGCTTTTGGATTTGATCTTCGCGTTCTCTGTGCAAAGCAATATAAACTGAGGTGTAAAATTACAATTAGGAAACTTAGTAACGAGCCCGAAACAAAACAGCTGAACATTGGCAAAGACGCACTCCAAGGATACAGCACAATAAAGGGGCTTACTTGACAAGATTTTCCAACTTTCTCATCCGCTTCTCCGATTCTGCCTCGCCTTGTTCGAGCTCAGATTGAATACCTCGAATCTAAAGAAAATAACACAGACAGTTAAAGAAAACACATGACTAGATGACAAGACAGGTATCTTTTTATTCAGCTCAACAGAAAGCCTTAATTTTTACCCACCTTTTTCTCGTGTAAATGTTCTAAATTCAATTTCTCCTGTTTGTGGGCAGATTCTAGCTCCTGTTGATGACGAAGGATTAAAATTAAATTGAAGAAATTAACGCTAAACGATTGAGGAACAAAGCAGCAAATCTGCTTAAGCGAAGAAGCGCTAAAACCACTGATCCATAAAATAAAAAACCAGGAACTTAACGTCATCAATGGAAAAAGCAATAAAAACAAACAAAAACACAAAGAGGAAATGTGTGTACATTTCTTACCCTAAGCTGCCTCTGTCGTTGAAACTCTGAATCTTGTAGAGCTTGTTTAAGTTGGTTGACCTGTGTCTCCAATTCTGCTATAGTGTCGGTGGCCTGGGAATCAAAATACCTTAATTTTACCTCAAGGAAAGAAGAGGTTCTGCGAGATAAAACATTTCTTGAAACTATCAAACGAGCTCTGTCATGACAACCCTTATCATTGTCATCCCTAACATACTCTGTCCTAAGTCCTTGTACCATTTCTCCCCTATTTTTTTAAACGGTTTTTCAGGCGAGGCACGCGAGAGACGAAAATTCCTCTTCCTCTCGTTTGTCTCGACCGTTGCGCCCTCCTCGTGCTCGACTCGCACTCGACCCCTTGCTTGTCTCCTCTTCTAGCTATGTTTGTTAACAGTATTACGTAGGTTCTGTACCTTAGAAATCGCTGCGGTATGCTGTTGCTTCATGCTTTCCATACTGGAATCTGTCTTCTTGTTCAACTGTTTGACTACCGTCTTATGTTCATTAATTGCTTGCGAATGATCTTTCTCCATTTTGGACAGACTAAAAACAATACACAGGGGTATTACACATGTTTCATTGAACAAGCACGAGGTCAAAATTACACCACACTGAGCAAGTTCTATTTGCGTTTTAATGGGCACAGGTAAAGTTGATGAACACAAAAAAGAAACATCTCATCCGTTAAATTCAGTCCTCAAGGGCAAGACCCATATTTGTTTTGATGAGGTAGCGGGATTTTATAAAATATTTCACTATAGAACCGCAAGATATATTTGAGGCAACTTTTCGTGATTTTCTTTCTCTTAATTGTTTTAAAAAAGGAAGGCTGTTGTCTTTTGCGACCTCATTGTAAGCTGGCCACAATAATTTTTGTTGTTGTTGCTGAACAAAGAAAGCAATCCTGTAGGGCTTAAGACAGCGTTCACTTCATCTTGTCTTCTTGCCTCTTTAGCGCTACAACTTCAAGCTAACCACACAGCCACAGGAACTTAAACTTGAAACCCACATCGTGTAAGTTCATTTTCAGGGTAAACCAGTACATCGCACTACCATGGATTTACCACGAAAATGTTTTTCATGAAGAGAAAATCTGAGTGACCTTCCCCTAAAACTTCAAGATGAAACAACAACAGCAATAAGAACATTACCTTGATTTTGCCTCCTGCAATTCAGTTGACAAAGATGATGCTTGCTGTTCTAGTTCTTCCTAAAAAGGCAAGTTGAAGCAGAAGAAAAAACTGCTTTAAAAATAACAAGAAATTTCTTTCTTTAGCCACACGACATCATAACGATCGTCAGTGAAGGCAAGTATGATGTTTAAATTGAATTCTGACGGGAAAAGGGGTCCCAAACCGAAGAATCCTAATCAGAAAGATATACCAGCAGGTGTGTATTTTCCTGGAGTGTTATAGCAATAGGCATTCCATGCTTATAATTATACAGTTGTTTGTAAGGAAAGGCATCATAACCTTACACTTTTGTAATCACCAAAAGGTTGTCAAGTCCACTTTAAAAAAATTCCACTCATTTATCAATCTATTCAAAGGTGAAGGTAAGGTTACGTCTGTACTCGAGACAAGTGGCTCATCCTGGTTTAACCCATGGCATGAAGTGACAAGGTGAATTACCCCCCCCCCCCCCATGAGATATGAGATGCTAGTCCATCAAAAGGTTACTTACCCCCCTTCACCAAGCATATCTATAGGCTTTTTTGACAATTAGTACCCATTTACACTCCTGGGTCAGTGTCTTGCCCAAGAACACAACAAGTGGCCTTTAGGTTAATCCTGCGACCTGCAGGTTAGGTTGTTAGAAAGGGTTTAGCATTAATCCAGGATTAAAAGTTAACCTTGACTTTAATTTCCCTTGCAGATGAGTGTGTTTAGAGTTTTGTTGGGTTTTATCTCAAATGACTTGAAACTAAAAGGATAAAAATAGAAAAAACTTCTCTAAAAAGCTGTTAAACTGTATTAAAAATTTGCAC